AGATATACAAAGTCCTTGTCTGACCAATCAAGACACTGAAAGTAGATCCCTAGACCTGCTGTTTTCTGAGTCCCCTTCCCTCCGCACACAGAGAAGTCTCTCTGACTCTGTGCATTTGCATTGTCCTTGAGGGAGTACATTTTTAAATTCTCTCTTTCCTTTTATTGACCTGAGCTCCTGTGGTGAATCCTAATTCCTCTAAACCCAGATGAATTCATGTGAGCAATCCACATATTCCATTTGCAGACAGCTGCTGTATCACAAGCAGGTAAACATGCGAGAGAGAGAGGCAAGGGCCATCTCTTCACCAGGCTCCTGTGAATCACCAGTGGACACCCTACCACCCCTGACCCTTTAGAGCCCAAGCAGAGTGAAAAGGAGGCAACCCCTGCGGGAGGAACCACCCAGGAGGCACTGACCCTTCAGCCTGTGCCCTGGTCTAACTGGTGGCCAAGGGACACCCATGTCAGCGCAGCAGGATGGGTCACAGCACATTGTCACCACCTTTGGCTTTACTTCCTGTTCCACAAGGGTTAGTTAAAGTACAGTATGACCTATAGACTGCACACATCTCACCTGCCACATCTGAGGTCATCTGAACAAGGCCATCTGAACAGAAATCGGCCCTAGTCCTGCTAGAAGATCTGTATAGGGCATCTATGCTCCCGCAGGCTGGTGGCTCCCCAAGGAAAATGCCAGTATAATTCTTTTCTGTTCCACCCCAAGAGCAGCTGGGCTCCAGGGACTGCAGCAAGTGTGGGGGCCTCCAGACTGAGGATGTGTCTGCCAGCCATTGGAAACCAGGAAGGAGCAGTCACACCATAAGAGCAGCTCCTGTCTCTGCTGGGTCTTGAGTACTTTTGTTTTTCATTTTAACAGTGTTTTTAAGATCAGGAACACTGTCCCTGACAAAACAATAAAACCTGGAGCGTTCAGCAGGTGAAACAGACTCAGCCACCTGGCTGTAATGTCTGCTATCACCCCAAGATCCTGTCCTCAACACAGGCCGACGTGTGGGGAGGACCATACACCCCCACACCACACATGTGCACAGACATGCAAGTCTATATGACTGCATCACAACTCACATGGACTCCCCTGCTATTGCAGCCGGGGCCTCTGAAGCCTTGAGCAGGGACCCTGGTCAGGTTTGAAGCTCCTCTAATCTGGTGGCACCAGCACTCAGCAAAAGTTGCAACCCAGCTTTCCTCGCTCAGTAACAACATCCTCACAGAGCTAGGGGACCAGAGAAGGCTGACTTAGCCCTTGGCCCATGGCAGACATGACATGGAATGTGTCAATAAATGATAATTCGGACAGAGTACTAATGCCCCCAGCTGAAACATGGCATGGCTGTGAGTCCAAAGGCACTTTCTCGACACTCGGGCCTTCTGGAAAGGACACACTTCAGCTCCACTGTCACGGCATTGCCATCCTCCATAGGCTGTCCAGTCCCCTACTCTGTACTTTCCACTGGAGCCCTTATTACACCCAAGACCAGTCACACAGCAGGCAGCACAGAGGCAGAGGCAGAGTCACATCCTGCGTTGGTCACTTCCCAGCTCTCAAACCTTCCAGGATCGCAGCGTGGTCATAGTCCAGGCACATGGCAGGATGTTGTTAGTTCTGCAAAGTCTACTGATGCCTATGCCCTGCACACATCAGGTGCTCTGCAGCTGCTCACAGACAATCCCAGCTGTCACCATCAAAACACACGGCCATCTGCTTCCAAACACCATGGTACCTCTGCCTGGTTTACAGCCAGTGAGCAGCTGGACCAAGCAACACCCTCTGTACCTCATGAACAGGCTGCTTCTCACAATGCCAAGGCAGCCCATCCTTACCGGGCATCCATCCTCCTTGTTCCCACCATGTTTATGCAAGTTGTCCTCATAACGTTAAAAATACACTTTAATTAAATATTATGTAACCAAGGAAGCTGAGTGCAAAGAAAAAAGAAAATGTTGCCTTAGAAAGCAGAGAAAGTTCCTCAGAAAGACTCAACCAAGGCAGATTGCTTCAAAATGGTCAAATTGGTTGTGAACAAGAACATAAAACACAGCAGGGGAGGAATTATCTACAACCCAGAAGGATGCACCTCTCAGATTTTTCCAGCAGTCTCAGAGCTCCTGCTCCACACGAAGGAAACAGGCAATGGTAAGAGGCAGCTGTGACTTGATGTTTACACCACAAAACCTGTACTTAAGGTCCTGAATCCTGCATCCAAAAATCAAAACATCACGAACATGAGTATTTATTTCTATAATGACATACCTAACCCATATAATGTGTGATTCCTCCAGTGTGTTTCACTTTTTCCATGATTATACCCTGATCCTGCTGTCCGAGGGATACAGAAGAGATTTTCGGATAGGCCTGATCTAAGCATATCCCACGTACCTCACCATATTCCACACCTGGTGGGTGTATGCCAGTCTGGATCACACAAGCCCTAGGTTCCATCCTAGCACCACAAAGGGAAGAAAACTGCCACCGTTCAAACAAAGCAGGGTCTAAAGCCTACCTTTACCAAAGGCAGTAGCCACGCTTAGTTTCTTAATCTGTGTAAATGTCATCCCTGGAACCTTGCAGAGGTCTGGGCTGAAGCTGCCTTTCTCTCTAAAGGCAGAAGGCCTGGCCCAACAGAGCTACTCAGTAAGTTTATGTGCCCAAATACAAGCAAAGAGTCTTCAAAATCAAAACATCAAAAAGTATTGGAATTGTCTTCTATCTGCATCCTTATTTTATCTCCCACACTAAAAAGTAACCTTTAAGTTACTTGACAAGGAACCACAAACTCTTTCAGCAGTCTTTTTTCTTGTCTTCTGTGGCACCAGGGAAGGAACCCAAGTCCTTCTGCACACTAAGCTCAGTCCCTACTGAGCTGCACTCCCAACCCGCCCAAAACCCTTCTTAGCAAGGCAACTTGTCCTGAAACAGTTCCCTCAGCACAGCTCTGGAATGTTAAAGGGGGTCTTTTCCAAAATCCTGAAAAGAATTAACAAGTAAGTAAGGCTGAGAAACTTAGCACACACTAATAAATGCCATACTAGACAGCACCATGTAAAGAAGGTCACTTTAGGCGCCACACATACAGTATTCAGCAAGGCCAAGGCAGAGGCTGGCAATCCCAGTGTCAAGCAAAGGGGACATGAACTTTATCTAAAATTTAAGGGTGTTAAGGGTGGCACCATTAACTGATTCTCAAACAGCTCATCTTAAATGACTCCTGTTAAAGTACAGCTGAACAGCCATGCTGACCACCAGGCTGGAGGACTGTGAGTGCTGGTGAAACCAACACGAGTGAAACCAGATACAAGTGACAAATTTTACACATGACAAGTCCAACTTCACAAGGCAGACACGCTAAAAGCTATCTTGTCTCTGTACAGCTATGAAGTTTACATGCATATCCCAGATGGCAAGCCCCACAGGAAAACAGGACCCTATATTACACACTCACGGTCACTCCCATGGGTGAATTTGATGTCTGCTGAGTGGTGGGATGAGTGCCATCTATTAAGCAAGCAGTGTACCAGAGTTGGCCTGCAAGGAGTCAGCACAGTACAATGTGCAACAAAATGCCAGACACCTATCCAGATGCAATCTCTACCTCAAGTCCCTGCTTGCAGAAGCATAGCTGGTTTCATGGGACTGTACCTGGTCCCCTTCTCCTTCCCATCCTACAGAGGATGCTCCAGTATTAAAGCAGGAGGCAACCTGCTCATTTTGCAAATAAGAATCTTTACATTAAAAGCAACAAGAACAGGAAAGAAAAGTTTGCAGATCTCTAACTGGAGCATCTAGATTCAATCACAATGAAAACCAAAACAAAAAAATTCTGCTCCAGCAGTGAGCTCAAGTAGGAATATTCCTTGTCCCTCTCTGTCATTCACTCTTTCCTGGCACAGGAAAATCCAATTCAGAAAGTGTGACCTTGGACCCAAGCCCATACCAGGTGCCAACGCTCCCCACCTCAGTGACGTTCTCGGGCTGCATAGTTCAGATGCTCCCAGCCCTTTGGGACCTTGCATTTGACATTAGGCTGCAACTCTCTGCATGGTCCAGGGAACTGAATATGGTTGTGTTATAAAGCAAATGATAATTCCAGCAGACGAACACCACATTTATTTACCCTTTAAATGTGCTCTTCTCCATCAAAAAAGTCACAGAAAGAGGGTAGTTTTGTGTCTCATTCCAAGCAGCACCTTGTCCGCACAACCCGAGCACCCCGAGTGCGCCAGTACTTACCTTTGCTGTCGTCACATTCCTGCCCGCGGCCAGCTCGCAAGGGGTACCTGGGGGCTGCGGGGCCAGGAAGGGTGGGTGGGCCGGGGCCAGGGCCGGGACCCGAGCCCCGTGACAGGGGGGCAAGTGGTGGCCGGAACAAAAAGATGTGACACCGTATCACCAAACCCTCCAAGAGAGGTCTGTTCACTAAAACAGAGACAGCTACAGCTGGCTAATGCAGATGCACAAATAACGTTCACGATTTGAAACAACAGCACAGGAGACTGCATCCCTGCCTGAAAGCCAGTGGCTCCGTGATGACCTGCCAAGCCCAGAATGGCTGTCGGCCCTGGGATTCTGTCCCCCACTTGCAGCAAAACACAGAGTAGCCTGCTCCCCACAGATTCCCTTCCCTCTTCTCTTAGCCAAATACCAGGGCAGGAGCCCACGCCCTCTCCTGCAGCCATGGGAACTAGGGAGATGGCAAGCTCCAACTTTCCTCCAAGCCTGCTGAAGGGCGCAGGTGGAAAATCTGGGGGTCGGAGAGGCTCTCTGGGGAGATGAAGGAGGGTGCAGAAAGGTAAAGAAACAGGCCCAGGAAAAGAAGGGAAGTGCAGCTCACCAGGGACCAGGTGGCCAGATGCCTGGTCAGGGTAGGCCGAATGTGGGGTGAGATGAGCCAGCCTTGCGGGGAGCTGGGGGTCCCCAGAGGAAAGCAAAGTTGGAGAAGAGGCGCACAACCCGAGCGCCCCGAGCGCGCCAGTACTTACCTTTGCTGTCGTCACATTCCTGCCCGCGGTCGGCTCGCAAGCGGTACCTGGGGGCGCTGCTGGGCCAGGAAGAGTGGGCGGGCCGGGGCCGGGGCCGGAACCCGAGCCCCCGCGGGGCCGGCAGCGCAGGCCATCTAGCAGGCGCACAAGCAGGATGTTGGCGGGCAGCTCGTCCACGCCGCAGCCCACCAGGATGCGGCATTCAGGGCAGCGCAGCTCGCGGCGCGAGCACACGATGCTTTCCAGGCACCGGCGGCAGAAGGTGTGCTGGCAGGGCAGCACCTTGGCCGTGGTGTCCAGGCGCTCCAAGCACACGGCGCACTCCAGCAGGTCCAGCAGCGAGGACTCGTCCATATTCGCGCGCGGCCCGCGACAGTCACGCGCACCCCGCGCCTCGGCGGCCGCCCAGTCCTGGACGCGCACGGCCCGGCGCCCAGCGCAACGTGGGAAGCGCGGCACCGCCTCCTCCTCCGCCTCCTCCTTGTCCTCGGCGGGCGCAGCCCAGCGACGACACCTGTCCCCCGCGCCCAGTGATGTCCCCGCGCACTAGGCAGGCGGCGGGTCCCCGCCGCGGCTGGCAGCGTGCGCGCTCCCCCGCGGAACCCCCACGCGAGCCCTTCGGGGCCGCGGCTCGTGCTCGTGCGTGGGGGCGCGTGCTCCGTCCTGCGCCCGACTGAGCACTGTGCGCAGAGCTCGGCCAGCGCCCTCAACCCCCGCGAGGAAGTTCCGGAGGTGCTGACCCTACTGCGCCCCTGTCGACGTTATCGATTCCCCGTCCTCCTCTGACTCCACACAGAGCTCAGAGCTCGGCGCTTGGGCCCTGAGGCTGTGTGCGCACGTGACAGCGCGGGCGGGAGGGGGTGGAGGAGTCCCCAGGAGACACTCACCCCCTCGAGGCGCAAGACGGCACGCGCCAGGGTCAGAGGGCTCGAATGCGCGGGCTTGGCGCGCCATTCCCTGCTGCGCGCTGCCCCCTGGTGGCCGCCTCGAGGTCGCGACGCCGGTCCGCGCGACTAGGTGTAAGGAGTCTTCACAGGACAAGGGAAAAAGTAGTACAGTATTCGCTGAAGCGCGGATGTGAAGAACAAGCCTGTACAGCAGCGTTCTGTTCAGTCCTCTACACAGTCCTATGAGACAGTGATTTTAACTTCATTCAGGAGAAGGTGAAGCCCTCCCTTGAGACTGGACAGTTTTCCAAAACCTCATGCATGGAGGAGACACATGCTGGAGAGCAGAAAGCTATGACTGGGCACAGTCTTCCGTGCTGGGGCAGTGCCCAGCTCCCAGAGGTGCACATAGAGGTGAATGCTGGTGAACGACTGAAATGCCATCGCCGCCACGCCGTCCCTGGGGAGAATGTGAGTGCAGATCTCCGCACCTTAAGTCCACACAGTCTGAGCTATAAGGCTGCGGGTCTCCAGTGCCCCTCGCTTCCACAGTGCAGGGGCTCTGTGCTCAGACCTGGCGGGTGGAGACTGCCAAGGTCCGTGGGGCCTGGAAGAGGACTCCACAGAGCAGTCTCAGCTCTCAGACATCTGCTCAGCAACTATCAAGAGGAAATACAAAACGGCCAGAGCACTCATCCAAAAACGGGATCAGCAGGGCAAAGCCCAGGGCATCCTGCTCTTCCTTCTTTAGGTGATGACTAGCACCTTTGTCTCCAGCCCTCCTAGCTGTGCTTCTGCCTGCGTGGCAGGAAACAGGGACAAAGTTCCACAAGCATGGTACCCACTGCTGGAGAGCCTCCTCCAATGCTGTCACAGACTGGAAGTGTAAAAACCCTGTCAGGGCACTAGGGGTGTGCACTGGCTTGGACTCATGATCATCGTAGATCAGTGTGCACTGACCACAGAAGCAGCTCAGTGAAACCTGGTAGCACCCTCAGGAGTCACCCAAAAAAGGACTGAGTTTCCAGAACAAGTGCGCTGCTGGACAGGTCAGAGAACAGTTGCCCTTTAGGAGCCCAGAACCATATCTCCGCCTTTGCATTCCTCAGCCCAGCAGGCTAAGCAAATGCTTACTGTGGAACTCAACCTGTCATGCCCAGGTTCCTTGCCTTCACTGTAAACTTGCTGCAATCCACCCCACAGCCCTGCACCCAGCTGCACGTACATGTACATAGAGAGGCTGGCAGGGCTCTGATTTAGTGTAGCATCCTGACTGAGACCACAGGGCATGCTGGGGGACAGCTGTGAGCCAACCACCACTTACTACCCTGAGGAAATGCCGCCAGGGTTACAGCATCTTCCCACCAGTTATGGTTTATATCTGAATGCCACCAGAGAACTTCATGCACTCATAGTGAGGCTGTGGGAAGGTGGCTGATCCATGGGGACTCAGCTGGCTTGCTGTTTGGAGGTGGGACCTGTCAGAAGAGGTGGGGCGTGGGGCGTGGCTTGGTAGGGTTTCCCTCCCTCTTGGCTCCTCCCTTCACTCTCCCCTTCCTGACATCTATGCAATGAACAGCTCACCTCTTGGGTCCTCTGCCATGCTGTCCTGCCTTGGAGCCACTGGACCATGGAATAAAACGTAAGACACAATAAATCTCTCCCCTTTTAAATTTCATATGTCTGGTGTTGTGTCCCAGCAAGAACAGTGACTAAGACATTGCATTCCAGGAGAGTTGGGGCCCTGCTTGTCACATAAACTCTCCTAGTTCTCAATAGCTAGCAGCCAGTTGAGTTCTCCAGGAAACACCATATTAGCTAAACAAAGTAGATTGTCCAAAAGTCCTCCAGTTTACAATTTTTGGCTGAAAGGGCCAACTGTAAGGAGATGGAAGGTGTGAACTCCATCCTGGAGATATTGCAGGTGCAGTGCCATGTGACTGTGTTAACCTGCATGCTTTTAGTAAGTCAATGACATGGTAATTGGGATAGGGGGAAAACCCACTTGGCAGCCAGGGATAGCAAAACTCTGGGAGTTCAACCAGCCACCAGTGTAACAGCTTGCAGATTCCTCACATGTGGGGCTGCCTAAAATGCAATGTACTCTCAGATGCCTTGCTGGAAGCTTGGGACTGGGATATGGAAGAACTAATCCCATTGGACCCTTGACACAAAAGGCCTCATTTGCAAAGTTACTTCCAACACTGGACACCAAAATTGAGCACAGAATAGTGAGGCATCTGGAGGCTATGTCCATGAAATTAGAATGGAGGGGCAGAGAATGTCCACTCAGAGAAGAGAGAAAACTAAGAGGGAACAGCACATGGCAGCCATGGGTCAGGGTTTTATCACCACAATATTTGAACTTCTTGAGGATGTGACATGGAACTCAGCCTCACCACAAGCACAGTCTTGCCAGACAAGCTTGGAGAGAGGAAAGAGGAGGCAAATGACCTGTGAGGGTCCCAGCCACCATCTAGGCAGCCACAGGTCCCCACTACTGGGGGTCTTAGGAGGAGAGCATCCGTGGCATATCAAGATGGGCAGACCATTCACACCAAGTAATCTAACATGACCCAATGGAGAGCCTGCCTGTGGCTACCATTACTTTGGCCAATCCTTATTGAGCTTATGGTTCTCCATTTTATTTAATTAGTACCTTTTTGTTAAATCCACCAGAATCAGCTTCTGTTACTTGCAACCAGGAATTCTAGTTGACAAATTATTGATTACTAGTAAGAGATCCACAGAGGCCCTTGGAATAAGACAACTGTCATCAAGCTGAACAGATGGTGGGAGCTCATAGAACCCTGAAAACACCAAGGGGAACTAAGATGAACTGGTTTCACAGGGGAGAGCCTTCAGCTAAACCCAGAGAAGAGCAGCTTCTGGGAAGGAGGACCACCCCCCCCCCACCAAAGGAAAATAAGCATAAGTCACACAAAAGGAGGGTTTCTTCCTCCTGCCTTTGTAGTGGACAGGTGGCACTTCATTCTGGGGACCCTCCCCGTCCCTGGTTCTCATGCACTCACAGGCTGCCAGTCACAGCTCTGAACCTGTATCCCAGCAGACACCAGGGAGGCCTAGCTGACCAATTAGAGTAGATCGCCCTGAATAAAGGTGGTTGGATCAGGCACAGAAGCAAGGCTGAGCACCCATCAGCATCTGTCATGAGATTTGGGTCTTGATGCAGACACTAAATTCAGAGACTTCAGTGGGCACCTGACCTGCATGTGAAGAAGGCTTGCTGCGTGGGGAGACACGCTTCTCTGTGACAGGCACTGGCCTGCCTGCTGTGTTTGGAGAAGGCTTCCCTAGATGCCCTGAACACAGTCACTGGAGGCCAGGGGAGCTGTGATTTGGGCAACACAGGGCTTAAACTGACAGGTTAAAAAATAGCAGGGGACAACAACAATGCAAGTGTACCTAGTGTCACCAACATACACACTCAGATGGTATTTTACTACAACTTAAAAAAAACTATATAATAACAGAAGTGGGAAGTCAGGTGCTAAAGCTTTTGTTTCAGCAATGTCCACAGGATTCCATCAACAACCATAGTTTGAGCACCACTGTATACCTGCAAGGTTCTAGCTCTTCCCTGCAACACTGCCACTCTAGAAGGGCAGGCAGGAGCCAGAAAGCTGGGTGGTTATGATCAAGACCTGGCTGTGGAGCAGGTGGAGCTGGTCCCACCCTCCACACAGCACCAATCCCAGCACAATGGGTGGATGAAAAGCCCTAGAGTAGATGCCCAGAATGGCAGAAGGAAGGGAAAGAGGAGAAAGGGGAGAAGAGGGAGGAGAAAGGGAAGGTATTATTACAGCATCCATCAGACAGGCAGGAGGAGGGAATGACTGCTCCAGCTCACCCCCAACTGGTGGCCAGCATTTGCTTCTGGAGCCTATTGTATATGTACCGGCCTGAAACTCACAAGGGAGACCAGGGTCAAAACACAGGCACAAGACAAGAGAAGGGTTGAAGAAGGGGACACTACCATCCTGGGAAGAGAGATCACTGGGCAGAGCCCTGGGGACCACCACCTGCCAAGGATGGGACAACTGCCAGAGAAGTGCTAAGGAGGGAGGTGAGAACTCTGCTTCCACCTGTTTAACACCTAAGAGAAAAAAGGTCAGTAGTGCTGGCACTTTGGCCAAGCTGACACCTTGGGGATTGAATCCAGCTGGGGTACATTTTGGGGGCACTACACTGAGCTTCAGGACAGCTACATTTATGCCCACTGCTCCAGGCCAGCACCTCCATATAGCTATTTCTGGTGTCCCTGCTGGGTGGCAGTGAGGCCACCTATGGCTGCACTGTAGCTAGCACAATACTTACTTCTATGGTGTCTGTGACCAGGCTGCTGAGTCAGTAGAGCAGGCAGAACTAACCCAGAGCAGGGCACAGTGATCTGCAGAGATGCTACCCAGGAGCTGTGGCTGAAAATATTTTCCTGGGGAGACTGGTCCTGGAGGAGTCCTCTGTCCACCCCAGCCCAGATGTGTGAGGAGCCTGCCGTGGGTCCTCCTCCTGGACAAGAGCAATGGGCAGGGTGACTGCCACTGCACTGGGACATGTGAGGACCCTGGTGGGTGGCCATGTTTCCACAGCCCCTCCACAGCTCAGGACAGCACCACAAGGCTGCTAGACAGGTGTCTGGACCTCTTGGAATCTGGTTGGGGGCAGAGTGAATACTGGGAACATTAAAAATGTTTTGGACATCAGCTTGATCAAATGGAAGGAACACATCATTCAGTGATATTTCTTTCAGGACATAAAGATCTTAATAAGCCTTAGAATTTATTCAACTCCAAAGCAATGTGCTCTGGTGAAGTGTCCCTTCCCCACATTTGCAACACAGTTTCCATAGCATTGTGACAAAAATATTTCAAATTTTTCTGCGGTATTAAAAATAATCCTGCAGTTGGCTATGTTTTCCTGCACTTCAAAAGAATTACAATCCCATGAATCA